CTTGACCATTTACTGTCAGATAAGACAATGCAACCATCTGTTAATGTGACGATATCTGTTATCTCCGGTTGTTTACCATCAGGTATTGTAAGAACATTATCTGAAATACGAACGAAGAAAGGATGTTTTTCGTCATTCAAAGCCTCATTTAATGAAGCATTGTCTTCAACTATGTTATTTGCACCTGCCTTTGTTTGTACCATACTATCATTTTCTGATATGCTTTTTGAACTTGAACAAGAGCAGTTTACATCTGCACCAACACTAGAGCACCCATAATCAAACGATAATTTTCTATCTTCTGTTAAAGCAATTTGTTTCGTTGTCTGAAGAAATCTTTCTTTGTCTGCTGTAACACTCAAACATATCTGTAACGTGTTTAAGGTGGTTGTTGTCTTACATTGCATCAGAAGATGATTATCGGTGGACTTTGTGGACGAGTGCATAATAGGAGATAGATCAACCGAGTAACAACACATTTCTGTAGTCATGGGTAATTTGTAGAGAGGTAGCTTTTCCGTCTGTTCCACTAATGAAAACGAGCATCGGAAGATATCAGCACTTGTATAATTACTTACAATCTTTTGCAGGATATCTTTATTTTCTGAAGCCGTTTGGCGTGTTTCCTTAAGTACATTTTGTTGACTTTTCAGCTCTGAATTTCGTTTCTCTTCAGTTGTATTAACTTTATCTAGTATGTCTTTCTCGCACTTTTCTAATTGATTAATCACTTTATATTTAAGGTCAGTCATATATTTTTGAATTTCTTGCTTGTTCAAGAGACTTTTTTCTATCATTCTAGCAATTTCGTTTTCTTGGTCCCTACAATGCTTTCCTATATTCTCTAAATCTTTTGACATTCTCTCGTTGAATTTTGTTGTAAGCAGTTGCTCGCCGGCAATTTCAATATCAACAATTGTTTTACATTTAAGCTCACGTATGTTAAGTAAGCAAATACTACACAAATAATGCTCATGGTCTAAGCAAAAAAACTCAAGTTTTTTTTCAGTATGGTCATTGCAGTTTTGAAACTTTTCCAAGTCTTCAGTAGTCTTTGACACTGTCTTTAAGTCGGTAATTGCTAATAAAAGGTGTTTTCTGGTAGCTTTACTACTTGCATGAATATCAGCACATGTACTGCATTGTGACTCCTCACATGTCAAACAGTATTTAGTTGCCTTTTTGTCCTCATTTCTAAACTGACATGGACCGCAATTATCCATTTCAGATCCCATTGTCTATGAATATATGTAAAACGAAGGCAATATTGTTGACGCAAAATGAAAGTTAAAAAACATTTTTCCTTCATATGATTATATCTCTAAATAGCTATCTCTGACAAAAAATAACATTAAACGATGATATGCTCATTTACCTATCTATATATCCGTTCTTTTCTTTCCAAAGTGGATTTTAACAATTTCCTAAAGTTGTTTTTTCAACTTCTACATCCTATCCACATTCTTGTTCTAATATAGATTTTGATAAAATTATACGTGGCATAAACATGTATTGGAAACAAAATGTTATCTTGTAAACATGTACTGGGATTGATTCGGTTTTAACAAGGACCATATGTTGTTTTATCAGTTATTACACGCGAGCGCAAAACAAATGTATATTTTGACGCAAAGTAGATATATTTAGCAGGAAAAATGTACTTACTTATTACAGCCGCGTAGAAGTATAAATTTACTCTTATGCATTCCTGTGACATATACGATGTAAAATTTCTTGTCATTGTACATAATAAAATGTTTGGTAATCAGGTATGTCTAAAACATTTCTACATACATGTAGTATGATTCCTTGTTTGTCTCAACTATGTTTCATTCAGTTAAAATTCCCTATAGTAGTGATCAGCTTTCAGTGTAAAATTGAAAAAAAAGTATGCAATATTTAAGTTTGATTACCGTATGATTATTGATATAAGATATCAGTGAACTAGTCGAAAAATAGATTGTACACATATATAAAATAATTCTGAATCGGCGAAAACAAACTATTTTGACCATTCTTATATAGCAGAATGCTTTTGTCCCTAATCAAGATACTAGCTGACATACATGTGCGTGGAAACTGAACATTATATATTTTTCTCTGCTCTTTTGTTAACTTTACTTTGGAATTAAATTTTAAATTAAATGCGTTATAAACATTATTATAATACATTATATGCATCATTATAATGCGTGATATACATCATAATAATGCGTTATATACATCATAATAATGCGTTACATACATCATTATAATGCGTAAAATACATCATTATAATGCATTTTATACATCATTATAATGCATTATATACATCATCATTATATTATAATGCGGTATATACATTATTTTAATGTGTTATATACATTATTATAGCTTAATTTCTAGTATTGAAGATTTTGTTTACAAAAAATGATTGCATATAAGGCTTTTCAAATCCTTACAACAGATTAAATTGAATAATTGATTTTTGACAAAACAGTATAGATATTTATCAAACATTAAGTAATGGATAAATAAATGAGATTTTATGATTATAAGACCCTACACTAACAAGCCTCAGTTTTAAATAGAATATATCTTGACAAAATGACAATTTTATTTCTGTTTTATGCCAATGTTCTTCAATTTTGATTTAAATGTAATTTTAGTCAATATCAAACTCATTCACAACATACTTGTGTACTCTTATCTGCACAGATTTTGTTGCAATCCTTCTGCACAGGCTTTTGTGTCAGTTTGCGCACTCTGAACAGGTTATGTCAGCAAAAGTATGTCAATTTGTGCAATCCTTTCTGCACAGACTTTGTTTGCACAGGTGTCAGTTTGTGCACTCTTAACAATGTTTTGTCCGCAAAAGTGTGTCGATTTGTACACTCATATTTGCACAGGTTTTGTTCGCACAAGTGTATCAACTTTTGTATCAACTGATGCACTCTTATCATCAAGAGGTTTTGATTGTCAAATTAATATGTAAGATAGTGTTGAACTTAATCTTAGTTAGACTGTTGATTAACGCTTAGCTTGACTGTGGACATTAAGTGAATAATACATTTGGTTACTAATATTAATAAAGCAATTAAATATCACTGTTGTTCATTAACCCTTTGAAAAACAAGTTACAAAATGCACAGTTGTATACAATTTTTAAATCATGTATGAATTAATTATATAACTGCTTTATAATGGCCTTTCACCAGCAGACTTTTTTAAAAATGTTATCTCGTAGTTTAAAACAACAAATAGTTCGCATATTCGGAACTCATAATTATTTCAGAGTAACCGTATGTTCATGTTCCTTTTCAAGCCTGCACTGATCAGTGGTTTTGAAAAACTCTAGTCGAGATAACCATGTATTTCTTACTTTAAATTTTACCTTTATTCCTTGTCATTTAAATGCGCTGTAAAACGTACAAATATGCATATTATAATACATAAAAATTGCATCTACTTACACTAAACTACAGTTTATTATTTGTTGTTAAAGTCTTGTTAAACTTTACTTTTAAAGCATTTAATTTTATAAAGTATTATATTTCATACTGTTCTCGGAAGGGAACTTCATTATATATGGATTTAACATAAATATCTTTATACCATTTATACAAACGTTTTATGTACATAGATTTCGTGATCAATTTTTTTGGGTTCTTTACAAAATGTATTTATAGCTACATATTAGTTAACAATCAGTAGCGTGCTGATAAAGTTCATACGGATAAAATGTATGGACTTGAAGATCAATGTAAACTGGAGAGGAGAAAGTTCGTTTGATGTTTTTACCAATAACTGAATAACTATATTTCACAAGAGCGTATTGATTTTAGTAATGATCTTACACAATTTTCTGGATTTAAAAATGGAGGTTAAATTCATATGTGAACCCTGCAAAGAAAGAGAAATTGACTCGCGTGCTGATAAATACTGCGTAACATGTCAGGAATCTCACTGCAGAAAATGTGCCGAAGTTCATAAAAGCTACAAAGCTACAAGGAAGCATCATTTGGTTCAGATGGAGGACTGGCAAATGCCATTAAAATTATGCAGTGATTTAAAGGTGATGCGAAAGTGTAAACATCATGCAGGAAAGGAACTTGAATTTTGCTGTACTGTCCATAAAGAGTTTTTGTGTAGCACGTGTTTATTGACAGAATCGGTGCATCGACATTGTTCTACGATAATCAGCATGTCCACATGTTTTCCCTCCTCTAACATGAAAGTGTTTACCGATACAATTTGCAACGACTTAGATCAAACAATTCATATAGCTAGATATGCAAAGGAAAAACTGATGGGCACTTATGAAAACTCAAAAGGTATAACTAAACAAATATCTGATAAAGTTAATACTATGCGCGACAATTTTTTGATGCAGTTCGAAAAACAAAAATCCATTATATTATCATCCGCTAAGGAAAAAGTTAAAAGACAAGCCGAAGATTGCATGAAAATGATGACTTGTATAGATGATCTTATATCCAATGCCGAAGAGTCTGAACAGTTTCTTAAGGAAATGAAAGACTTGGGGCGAGATTCTGACATTATACATTGCATTCTACTTAACATTGAAAGAGTTAAAGAAATGAAAAGACAAACAGAGGAGATATGTTCAGAAAGTACGGAATTGGAAGTTGAATTTGGAAACACAGTTCTAACAGATTCAATCGTGAAGAAGGTACCTTTAATAAAGTGCAACATTAAAGAAATAAAGTTAAATATAACTGATATCAAACTTGATACTACAAGTAAAGAGGACTTGTATTATCATATTTGTAACCCTAGTAAAGCAGTAACCGACAACGACATCACAGAAAGCCGCAACGATGTTAATGACAGAAAAAAGACAGCAGTCGACACTAAAAATGAAAGAGAACATCCCGTTCCAGTTACACTTGTTGAAAACAAATCAACAGAGGAAGAAAGTTCACATTACGATTCTGACAACATGAAGAGGAACAGTAATTCAACGTTGAAGATAACCCAGGTTACCACTCAATCAGATGACATCACAAATGTTGTAGATACAAAAGATATTAGTCAGTCATGCAAGGAAAGTGCAGCGTATTCAACAGATAAGTTACAACAATTTAAGGAATCGGCTATGCAGTTGAGATACTCTGAAAGCTTTAACATAAAAGATAAAGACTGTTCCACAATTTGGGTAGGCGGTATAGTATGTCTTCATGACAACCGTTTAGTATTGTCAGATTACCTAAATATGAGGTTGGTGGTACTAAATACGGATCATAAAATAAGCAAAGTGGTTCCTATGCAAAATGGTCCTCGCTATTTATCTATATTCAATCAAGACACATTCATTGTTTGTTTGATTAAAAGTCCAAATATTGTATTGATGAAATTAAAAAATGCCGACGTTGAAATCGGAAATTATTTGAAAACTAGGTTTTATCCAAAAGCAGCTCATGCAAGTGGTTCAAACTCAATCCTAGTGACAATGCAGGACGTTGACCTGGTCTTGCATGTTGATGTCATAGATTTAACAGGAGAAGTTAAGCAAACAATTAAATTCAAAGAGTTCTTTGACGGGTATAGAACTGCCGTTCTTAAACCAGAAACGCAAGATAGTAGCATAGCTTTAATTCAGTATTGTGGACACTCAGAAGAGGTGCGTTGCCTAAGTATTGATGGAAAATTGGTTTTTCGTTTCAAAACAGATGACGTTTCAAGTATTTTAACAGACCAAAGTCGAAGAAACATAATTATTGTCAGATATTGTGGTGAAGTGCTCGTTTTATCATCTGATGGAAAATTGAAAGCAAGGTTGAAGAAAATGTCAATGTACAGAGCAAATTATTTGGCAATGAATGCATCATTAGACAAAATATATATCACAACTTATAAGGAACCTAAAATACATACCTTGAAGGTTTGTTGTGAATAAGACCCTCAGGATAATCGTACATGTAGGGATGTGTATATCGTCTTAAAACTAAAACAACAATTCTATCTGTGCTACTAGTGCTGTCAGAACAAAATACGTACTAACAAATTGACCTTCACGCATTGCCAGCAACATACATGCTTGCTTAATAACTTATTGATGGAAATAAACAACGTTCTTTATTATTGTAAAGTCAGCTATTGAATTGTCTGAATCAAACATAAAATGTGATATTTCACTGAAATTGATTAACATGTAGCAGATTATTCTAAGCAAATAAAAAACACATTTATTTGTATATGCACTCCATACACATGCACTAACTTCATTTATACATGTACCTTCAAATGTCATTTATTCTATTTTAGGAAATATACATGTATTTTCAACAGCTTTGTATCATATTTATGTTGGTGTATTAGATAAACACATCACGAGTATAAATAATAAACTTTAATCTTGTTTCAGTACTTTGCACGGTTGTATTTATTTTACCCTAGATAAATGTAATTGGCTGACACATAAAGTATCCAATTTATGATATGTTAGGGGAGGTAATTCTAAAATATTTCAGAAATGATAATGTTTTATTACGTTCCTTGTAAATTGTTCTATCCAAATCAAATTATTATTGATGATTAGATGTAATTTGCTGTTCAACAAATTTATGATGAACAGATCAACTATTGTAATCATGGCGTATTTGTTCATCAAATTGCGATGTTATAAGGTTTAAACCCTGCATATTAAATTCTAAATTTAGAATTTTCGATTATTGTACATGTACATTCAAAGTGGCATTATTAAGTTTTTATCAGACATAATTATGCTACGATTTATATCAAATTATTGCATATAAAATACACTGTAGTACAAAAAAAGAAAAACGGAACACGGAGTTCCTAAAGTACACCCAAAACGGCGAAACTGAAAATGTTGCAGGCTCGTTTTGATAGAGCTGTACATGGGCGGTACTGGTTAAAGTGACATTATGCCCACCCAAGGTTAAATTGTTGATGTGCAAGTAAAAATAACTTAAAATTTTGCCATAATTGCGCTTAATTCTATATTTTACTATGCAAACATAATCAATAATCTACGTCACACACAGAAATGTTAATATATATATTTATTTATTTATATACATGTATATCACTCGAAACGTATCGTTAGACAGACAAAATGTAAGAGTCGGTCATGGATAGATATTATCCTGGTGACTCGAAAATCTGTCGTAATAATCTGAAGACACCAGATCATATTACTTTAAATTGAAACAAGAAAATAGAGTCTGAATACTAATTGATTTGTGTAAGTGAAATGTGTCGTTCATTGAAAGTTTAAAGCAACAGACACGAAATTATGAAATACATTCAACAAACGAAAAGTTCAACTAAATTTTGCTTTATTTTTTATAGTGCACCAGTAAATAAATATTTCATATTACATGTGATATTTATGCCTCTTCATTCTTTATTGCATTCAGAATTAAATTTTTCGGGCACACAACTTAAAGCATGATGACACACACGCGCGCACGCACACACACGCGCGCGCACACACGCAAACACCCATATTTATGCAACACTCTGTCTATACACTAGCTGAATAACACTGATTGTAGATGATGAATGCTTGGTTAAAAAGAGCTTGTCCTTTGTATTGCTGAATGTTAATCCATTTGCCTCTCTTGGAACGTCACAGGTTTGGAGAGGCTTTCCGTCTGAGTCTAGAATATGAAGCTGGCCAAATGAATCTAGTAGATAAATATTCCCTGATTTTGCAACATATAAGTATTTTGGAGACCTTTGGAATAGAGGCTCATAGGGAAGACTGGGCATGCCCAACTATGTTGCCTCTTTAAATAAAGTCTTTATTATTATTATTATTATTATTATTATTATATATAAACAGCTCTTTTCCATTCACAGAGTAACAATAGAGCGCGTCCGATATAGTGCAACATTGAAGGTAATATATAGGAGACGCCTGTGTTGATTTGATAGCCGAAACCATAGAAGCGTCTTGAATAGACCTTGTTTTTCCGATGTCCTGCTTCAACTTACCATCTGTCGTAATAACATGCAGATGCCATTTTCTATAAGAAGAACCTTTCATTGACACAAGAAGATGGCTATTATCAAGAAATTGATGAGTGTTGGTTTTTTGTATCTTAAGGCCCATTAAAAGTCCTCGTAAAAATGCAATTATTTTTATACCTGTAAAACTTTTTTCTGATGTCCTGTTACGGTATCCGAAAGAAAACAACATAGTTTAAAAAGTTTAACCACCTTCCGCTTCTTCTGTTCTTTGACAACAGGTAAAGTTACAGTAATTGGATATTGATGGAACTTTACCAATGTTTAAATTATTTATGCAAATTAACTGACTTGATATTGAAATGATATTCTTTGATAATGCATAGACACTGGTTGACTTGGGTTTGTTTTATCTAAATACTCATGAAACGTTCAATCTTAGCGTCATACTATATTAAAGATTCTTTCTTTTAGATATGGTGACATTTTATAATCTCCTGAATTAAGCCTAGCAAATTTTACTAAAGTCGAATCATCAAAGCAGTGAATGTTCACACTAACTATCATTAAAGGGCAAAACAGTCTTATATTGTTAAAACAGAACAAAAATTAGCTTTGTAGAATAGTCTTAAACTCAGGTCGGTTCGACAGTTAAACGCTTGTTACGAATGAACTGCAAACTAAATATAGATTTAAATACACTGTGTCATATTTAAATAAATTACTTATCATAATGTTCATTGAGAGAGAAATATTTGTATAGGAAATCACACAAAACAGATGTTTTATCATTAAAGTCATGCTCATAACAATACAAAGGTAAGCATATCATACAAGAATTACCATAGTCTTAGGTTATCCATCAACGCATTTTGAAAAGAAACATTTTCGCAAAAGCAGACCATGTACTAAAAATACTTTTATTACCATTTGATACATTCATTTTCAAACATGTCTCAAACAATGACCTTACAAGTTTTGAGAAAATACTGCTGCTGCTGCTACTGCTAGTGTTACTACTACTAGTAATAATAATGATAATAATAATAATAATTCTTGAAGATTTCTTAAACATATTTTAAAAAACACAGGTTATATTAACAATATGCCTTCAATTAAAGGTAAAACAGTACACAAATAAACAAAAAATCGAAAAACACATGCATTCATCAGATTCATTCAAATTGCATATCAAGAAAATGTTTTTAGTATTTCTTTAATACAAAAATAAATTTATATCATTTCATAGTTGCATAGCCTTAAGTATCTAACAAACTTTTTCTTACATGCCTTGTATCGGGACTTTCACGATTTTGATTCTATCGGCAGTTTAAGCTATCGTAAAAATAAACTTTAATGCAAATAAACAGAAATTTTAACCAAAAAAAACTGATCAGAAATAACAAGACAAAACATGTATCGTATCTGTAAACTGTTACAAAATCCTAATAATAAGCCAATCGATCCTTGTCATATCCGAAGACATTTATAACTTAGCTTGGATTTTGATAAACACTGATTGTGGTTGTAGAATGTTTGATTATTAGAAGCTTGTCTTTTGTCTTGCTGCATGTCAATCCATTCGTTTCTTTTGGCACATTTACTCTTTGAATTACTTTACCGTTACTTGTACGAATATGTAGCTGACCAAACGAATCCAGAATAAAAATCCTGTCCGACATGTCAACATATAAGTATTTCGGGGACCCAACTCTATATTTGAATGACACTTTTCCTTTGACATCATAACAATAGAGCGCATCTGAGAAAGTGCAGCATTGAAGATAATACCTCGGAGACGATACCATAAATTTAATTGATGAAATCAGAGAGGCATCTTGAATTGACCTTGTTTTCCCAATGTCCCGTGTCAACGCCCCATCTGTTGAAACAATATGAAGATACCATTTATCATCAGAATCATCTTTCATTGAAAGAAGAAGCCGGCTATTGTCAATGGTATGAATGCCCCTTGGAGTATGAGAAGTTATAAAATTTCTCATCCATTTAAATTCAGAGGATACTGAAACGAATGCAACACGGTTTCCAGTCGGAAAGCAAACCACGAGAAACTTTTCGTTCAGCACTGTCATGTTTCCTGGTGGATAAGGCATTTCTGCTGTGTCTTTATATGATAAGTTTATTTTCAAGCGCAACAATCTTGACCATTTACTATCAGACAAAACAATGCAACCGTCTGTTAGTGTGACGATACCTGTTATCTCCGGTTGTTTACCATCAGGTGTTGTTACAACAGTATCTGAAATATGAACAAGCCATGGTTGTTTTTCCTTATCTAAACTTCCATTTATTGGCAAGCTTTCGATAGCTATTTTATCTGAACCTTCCATTGGCTTTACTTCACAATCTTTTTCAGGTACGTCTTTTGAATTTGTATCAGAACCTTCTATATCTGCGTCGGAACTAGAGCACGTATAATCATTGGAGTGTTCTTGATCTCTAGTGAGAGCAACTTGTTTAGTTGTCTTGAGGAAGCTTTCTTTGTCTGCTGTAACATTCAAAAACTTTTGTTGCGTACTTAAACTTGTAGTTGTTGTTTTGCAATACATAAGAGGATGGTTGTCAACGGACTTTGTCAGTGCGTACATTATAGGCGATAGTTCAACTGAATGATTGAAAATTTCTGTTGTCATAGACACTTTGTTAATCGGGAGCCTCTCCATCTGTTCTAATATTGAAAACGAGCATCGAAATATATCAGCACTTGAGTTATTACAAACAATTTTGTGCAGCATATCTCTGTTTCCTGATGCCGTTGTGCGAGCCTCTTTGAGAACGGTTTGTTGACTTTTCAGCTCTGAATTACGCTTCTCTACAGTTGTATCGACTTTGTCTAGTATATCCTTCTCGCACTTTTTAAACTGATTTATCACTTTATGTTTATGGTCAGTTAAATATTTTTGAATTTCTTGCTTGTTCAGGTGACCTTTTTCTATCATGCGCTGGATTTCGTTTCCTTGTTCTCTACAATAATTTGTAACATCTTCTAAATCTTTTGATATTCTTTCGTTAAATCTAGTTGTAAGGAGATGATCACCCGCAGTTTCAATATCAACAATTGTTTTACATTTAAGCTCTTTTATATTCAGTAAACAAGTACTGCACAAGAAATGTTCATGGTCTATGCAGAAAAACTCAATTTTCTTGTCGGTATGGTCATTGCAGTTTTGAAACTTTTCTAAGTCTTCAGTAGTCTTTGATGCTTTGTTTAAGTCGGTAATTGCTAATAAAAGGTGTTTTCTGGTAGCTTTACTACTTGCATGAATATCAGCACATGTATTGCATTGTGATTCCTCACATGTCAAACAATATTTAATTGCCTTTTTGTCCTCATTTCTAAACTTGCATGGGCCGCATATATCCATTTCAGATCACCACATCTATAAAAATATTGAAACAATTTCAAAAGCGTTTTTGATAAACTGATGTTAACATGAAAGTCGGGTTTATGATTTTTGTTTACTTGATATTATGTTTATAAATCGAGATCAATATAATATTGTGACTATTTGCTTGCTATGTTTCCGTTCAATTTCATCACAGGTAGACATATTTTTGTGACAATGACTTTTAATACTTATAACATAGATAATCTTCAAAAAGAAACATTGGATCCCAATAAAGCTGAAAATGAATAACAAAATAAGTAAATGTTTGATTAATCTTTGTGCTAGGAAGATTATTTATCGTACCTGCTCTGTAAATATTCCGCTAGTTACAAATTAACTTGTATTAAACATCATAAATTTGTATTTATGCACCAAGAGTGCTTAAATTTCGACATGTATGTGTCACGTGATGTTTAATGATTTATAACACGTCATCACTTATAGATAACCTTTAATGTTAAACAATTCAGTTATCAATAATCGTTGTAACAGCTGCATAGCAACTCAAATCTCACTGACTTTATTTTAACTCCGACTTATATTTTAATTCCGCATTGATTATATGAAAGAATGAAGAACGTTGGTCGAAATATTGTCGTAAGCGCTAATAAGACACTTCATTATTTCAGCGTATTAATTAATAATATTTTTATAACCTTTTACACGTTATCACATTTCATGACATAACATCTCAACTAATATGTACTAAATGTCCAATTATAGATTTTGTAAAAACTCATAGACACAAGAAGATGGCTATTATCGAGAGTATGGATCCCTCTTGGAGAAAGCACGGTTTTAATGTTTCTCATCCATTTAAATTCAGAGGATACTGATACAAATGCACGGTTTCCAGTTGGTAAGCAAACCACAAGAAATTGATCGTTAAGAACCGCCAACTTTCCTGGTGGATGCGACAGTTCTGCTGTGTCTTTATGAGTAAGATCTGTCGTAAAGCGCAACAGTCTTGACCATTTACTGTCAGATAAGACAACGCAACCGTCTGTTAATGTGACGATATCTGTTATCTCCGGTTGTTTACCATCAGGTATTGTCTGAAATACGAACGAAGAAAGGATGTTTTTCGTCATCCAAAGCCTCATTCAATGAAGTATTGTCTTCAACTATGTTATTTGCACCTGCCTTTGTTTGTATCATACTATCATTTTCTGAAATGCTTTTTGAACTTGAACATGAGCAGTTTACATCTGCATCAACACTAGAGCACCCATAATCAAACGATAATTTTCTACACGTACTGGGATTAATTAGGTTTTAACAGATATCATATGATGTTTTATCAGTTATTACACGCGAGCGCAAAACAAATGCAAAGTAGATATATTTAGCAAGAAAAATGTACTTACATGTATTTATAACAGACGCGTACAAGTATAAATTCATCTTATGCATTCCTGTGACACATTTGATGGCAAAGTTCTTGTACAATACTTTAATGTTTGGTAAACAGGTATGTCTAAAACATTTCTACATTGCATGATTACTTGTTTGTCTCAACTGTTGTTTGCACAGGTGTCAGTTTGAGCACTCTTAACAAGGTTTTGTCCGCAAAAGTGTGTCAATTTGTTCACCCATATTTGCTCAGATTTTGTTCGTACAAGTGTATCAATTTATGCACTCTTATCTGCAGAGGTTTTGATTGTTGAATTAAAATGTAAGATAGTATTGTACTTGATTTAAGTTAGACTGTTGATTTACACTTAGCTTAACTGCGGACATTTAGTAAATAATAAATTTGGTTACTGATATGAATAAGGCAATTAAATATCACTGTTATTCATTGAGCTTTTGAGAATCAGAAGCAAAATGCAGTTGTTCATTTTTAAATCATGTAGAATTAATTATATAACTGCTTTATAATGGCCTTTCACCAGCATTTTCATATATGATTTCTCGTAAGTTTAAACAGCAGATCGATGTTGCGCATATCCTGAACTCCTAATTATTTCAGAGTTACCGTATGTTCATGTTCCTTTTCATGCCTGCACAAATCAATGGTTTTGAAAAACTCTAGTCGAGTTAACCATGTATTTCTTACTTTAATTTTTACCATTTATATAATTCTTTATTTCTTGTCATTTAAATGCGCTGTAAAACGTACAAGTATGCAAATTATAATACTTGAAAATTGCATCTACTTGTACTGTACTACAGTTTAATATTTGTTGAAAAAGTCTCTTTTTTTACCCTTAAACCATTTTATTTGAAGTGTGTTATATTTCATACTGTTTTTGGAAGGGAACTTCATTATATATGGATTTAACATAAATATCTTTATACCATTTATACAAACGTTTTATGGATATAGATTTTGTGATCAATTTTCTGTCAAAAACTGGGTTCTTTACAAGGCGTATTTATAGCTACATATTAGTTAACAATGGGAATATAAGGTCAGTAGCGTGTGTTGAACATTCAGCTGATAAAATTCATACGGAGCATATATATGGACTTGAAAAGTTGTTAAAATTGATCTCGTTAACGCATATAACAGTTCACCAACTATGAAATTTGAAAATCAATGTAAACTGGAGATGAAAACGTTCGTTTAATGTTGTTTAACAATAACTGAATCACTAAATTTCACAAGTACGTATCAATTTTAGTAATAATCTTACACATTTTGTCTGGATTAAAAAATGGAGGTTAAAGTCATATGTGAACCATGCAAAGAAAGAGAAATTGACTCATGTGCTTATAAATACTGCGTAACATGTCAGGAATCTCAATGCAGAAAATGTGCCGAAGTTCATAAAAGCTACAAAGCTACAAGATCGCATCACTTGGTTCAGATAGAGGACTGGCAAGTGCCATTAAAATTATGCAGTGATTTAAAGGTGATGCGAAAGTGTAAACAGCATGCAGAAAAGGAACTTGAATTTTGCTGTACTGATCATAAAGAGTTTTTGTGTAGCACATGTTTATTGACCGAATCGGTGCACCGACATTGTACTACGATAATAAATCTGTCTACATGTTTTCCTTCCTCTAACATGAGAGTGTTTACCGATAAAATATGCAACGACTTAGATCAAACAATTCATAAAGCTAGATATGCGAAGGAAAAACTGATTGGCACTTATGAAAACTCAGAAGGTATAACTAAACAAATATCTGATAAAGTTAATACTATGCGCGACACTTTTTTGATGCAGTTCGAAAAACAAAAATCCATTATATTATCATCCGCAAAGGAAAAAGTTAAAAGACAAGCCGAACATTGCATGAAAATGATGACTTGTATAGATGATCATATAACCAATGCCGAAGAGTCTAGAAAGTTTCTTAAGGAAATGAAAGACTTGGGGCGAGATTCTGACATTGTACATTGCATTCTACTTAGCATTGAAAAAACTGAAGAACTGAAAAGACGAACAGAGGAGATATGTTCAGAAAGTACAGAACTGGAAGTTGAATTTGGAAACACAGTTCTAACAGATTCAGTCGTAAAGAATGCACCTTTGATAAAGTGCAATATTAAAGAAACAAAGTTAGCTATAACTGATATCAAACTTGATACTACAAGTAAAGAGGACTTGTATTATCATATTTATAACACTAGTAAAACAGTTACAGTCAAAGATACCACCGAAAGCAGCAGCAATGTTAATGACAGCATAAAAACAACAGGCGACAAGAGCAAAAGAGAACATCCCATGTCAGTTACGCTTTTAGAAAACAAATCTACAGACGAAGACGAAGAAAATTCACATTTCAATTCGGCGTTAAAGATAACCCAGGATACCCCTCAATCAGCTGACACCACAAATATTGTAGGTACTAAAGGTATTAGTCAGTCACGCAAGGAAAGTGCAACGTATTCACCAGATAAGAAACAGCAATTAAAGGAATCGCCTGTGCAGTTGAGATACTCTGAATGCTTTAACATAAAAGATAAAGACTGTTCCACAATTTGGGTAGGTGGTATAGTATGTCTTCATGACAACCGTCTAGTGTTGTCAGATTACCTAAATATGAGGTTGATGGTTCTGAATACCGATCATCAAGTATGCCAAGTGGTTCCAATAAGAAATGGTCCTCGATATGTATCTATGTTCAATCAAGACACATTCATTGTTTGTTTGATTAAATGTCCGAAGATTGTATTGATGAAAATAAAAAATGCCGACGTTAAAGTTGGAAATTATTTGCAAACTAGGTTTTACCCAAAAACAGCTCATTCAAGTGGTTCAAACTCAATCCTAGTTACAATGCAGGATGATGACCTGGTCTGGCATGTTGATGTCATAGATTTATCAGGAAAAGTTCTGCAAACAGTTAAAATCAAAGAGTTCTTTGACGGGTATAGAACTGCCGTTCTCAAACCAGAAACCCAAGATAGTAGAACAACGTTAATTCAGTACTGCAGATACTCAGAAGAGGTGCGTTTCCTAAGTCTTGATGGAAAATTGGTTTTCCGTTTCAAAATAGATGAAGTGTCAAGTGTTTTCACGGACAATATAAGACGAAACATAATTATTGTCAGATATTGTGGTGAAGTGCTCGTTTTATCATCTGATGGAAAATTGAAAGCGAGGTTGAAGAAAATGTCAATGTACAGAGCAAATTATTTGGCAATGAATGCATCATTAGACAAAGTATATATCACAACTTATAAGGAACCTAAAATACATACCTTGAAGGTTTGTTGTGAATAAGACCCTCGGGATAGTCGTACATGTAGGGATGTGTATATAATCTTACAACAAAAACAACAATACTGTCAGTGCTGCTAGTGCTGCCAATACAAATTGACCTTCATGCATTGCCAGCAAAACGTTTAATAGACATGCATGCTTGCTTAATAACTAATTGATGGGAATTAAAAGCGTTCTTTATTATTGTAAAGTCAGCTATTGTATTGTCTGAATCAAACATAAAATGTGATATTTCACTGAAATTGATTAACATGTAGCAGATTATTCTAAGCAAATAAAAAAGACACATGTATTTGTAATTGCACTCCATACACCTGCACTTACTTATATACCTCATTTATACATGTACCTTCAAATGTCATTTATTCTATTTTAGGAAATATAGATGTATTTTCAACAGCTTTGTATCATATTTATGTTGGTGTATTAGATAAACACATCACGTGTATTAATAATAAACTTTAATCTTGTTTCAGTACTTTGTACTGTTGTATTTAGTTTACCCTAGATAAATGTAATTGGCTGACACATAAAGTATCCAATTTATAATATGTTAGGGGAGGTAATTCTAAAATATTTCAGAAATGATAATGTTTTATTACGTTTCTTGTAAACTGTTCTCATTTCTATCCAAATCAAATGGCAATTTTGAAAGAGAAGTTGTAGAAAATTATATAAGTTCAAAATGACGACAATATAGAAAGTAGAATAAAATGTTGTTATGGTACACTTTTGTTGACATGTACAAATTTTGTAAGTAATTGATGTAAGAGTGTGATGTAGAAGGGCAAATATGTATCGTTGCCATCAAAATATTAATATATCTTAACAAGTGACAATATGCTGATTTGTTTCGTTGTCCAGTTGAGCTGAATTTCTTTATATTTAAATAGATTGATTTTTATAATAATCATTAACCGATAATTGATAAGGGCGAAATTTAACAACTCTTTTAACAACTGAACTTTTACTATACATTCCGTAGGATATTTATAGGATTATCTGTGAGTCTCTTGGGTTATTGATGATATAAATGACCTAAACCATAAAATTGAAAGCAACTATTGCAACATTTTAAGTTATTGTGACTTTGGTATGTAACACCAACCATTTACGCTTGGATGGGCATGATGTCACTTGAACTTACCGGAACCGGAAGTGATTAGTTTTTATCACCAGTATAGAGCCATGTCAGTACAGTCTCACCAGTATCTATAATGTTGGTAGCTGAATTTTGTATTTTCTATTGAAATCCTTTACATTTTAAATAGAATTTTCCCAATTTAAAGCAAGACAGATTCCGTCTGCCAGTTCGGGAGATTATTGGTTAAAAGTCTAAAATATTGTTGTATATAAAAAGGAGAACTGTAGCTTTATATTTTCCAATGAACAGATTCTCAATTATAGTAGGCTTGTTGAATTTTGAGAACGGAGAAACGGGAGAGCTATTGCACTCATGCAGGCGTCGACGTCCTTCTTTGGCGCAAGTTTATATCTCACATGCTACTGAAGGGAATTTGTTAAAAGAAAGTTTACACACTTTTTTGAGAGCATTATATGAGGTCGCTCATCAGAATACATAACTCTAATTTGGATTTTGGCAGAATTATAACCCTTTTAAAAATTCTACATGACCCAGGCGTTTTTTTTACTACCACGTACTGAAGCAAGCTGTCCTTTTTTCTTTTCTCTCTCTCTCTCTCTCTCTCTCTCTCCCTCTCTCTCTCTCTCTCTCTCTCTCTGTTAAAGGCTGTTTAATTTTTTTTTCAATTTTGTTAAGCTAATTAATTCCCCATTCTATCCAGGGTCTAAAATTTCTTTTGAAAGACCCTGTTCTATCTTAATTCTATGGAGCAGTTTAATTGATAATTTATAAGAAATATATAAATGCATGTGTGTGTGTGTGTGTGTGTGTGTGTGTGTGTGCGTGCGTGCGTGCGCGTTTTGATTTTTTTCTCACTTCCACTTGTGTAACTATTCTTATGAAACTATCCGGAATATATGTATTATAAAGTTTGACTTTGTGGGAAGGGCTGTTGCTAATGTTGTAATAACTTGTAGCCCAACTCATTTGCACTATACTTATATGTACATTTGTTTTTGTTTCTTTGTGTGTTATTCATATCTTACATGTATTATATAGTTGCAATAAAATATTATTAAACTAGAATAAACTTGCTGTCCTACAAACAGATTTTGTTTTGCTTCTTTTCCTTATGAATGCATTATTATATCTTATAATGTATGCATTCCTAGAGTTACAGATAATTTTCAAACGATACTGTCGAATGTTGTGTGTTTGTTTTCTTCTTTTTATCCATATTTGTCTGCAAATTTTAACAGATAGCCCAAGGTGAGTAATTTATTAGCTCCGTTCATTTGAAGAAATGCATGACGACATATAAGGTTACACTTATGCTAAAGTTAGATTCCAAAAATCTTGTGTTTTTTTTTCATTCACAACAATAAATTAATCGATTTAGCCTACAAAGCAAGAGGCTCCGAGGTCAAGTGACTTCATTTCGCTTGAACCTCAACGCTTGGGGTTCGAATTTTAGGGAGCTATCGGGCTTGTTTACGAAGGTAATTGGTTCTACTCAGCTGCCCGCTCGTGATTGCATAAATGCGCGGAGAGGCACCTGAAGCGACTTTATCTACAGGTAAAGTAGTGAAGTTGCCACATGATATGAAGAAGACATCATTAAATAAACCCCAAAATACTTTTTTCTGTTATTTAGAATAATAATAATAATAATAATAATAATAATGATATAAAAAAAATAATGATGATAATAATAATAATAATAATAATAATAATAATAATAATAATAATAGTGATAATAATAATAATATGAAAAAAATAATAATGATGATGGTAACAGCGTCTGATTGGACGTGTTTTATCTTCAATCACTGCTGGTATTTTCCACTCTGAGAACTGTATTTTCTGTTTTTGTTGAGTTATTTACTTTAGTGAGACATCATGAAATAATTGCTTACAAAGTAATCAAAACTATCATGGAACAAGATTGAAAAGCGTCAGCGTCACGTGAATGTTCCGTATTGTAGCATGTCATTGACATCTTTTCTAACCGTCGTATCATTTTGTTACTTTATGAATATGGCCATAACGTCTGCTTTGTCCATTCCTAAAAGTAAATATATAAACTGACATGATGCACTTATATATCAAAATTCAAAGCACAAATAGCAAGGTATACGTTTAATTTCTATGATTCTACTGCTGTATTTAAAATGAAAAACAATAAGAACAATAACAGCAACAAAAAGCAACAACAACAACAAAAAACAGAAAAAAACGCCCGACAACCTGAGGAAGCAGTTCATATCTCCCTGAGAGATTGAAACTTTTATTCTTTCTCAAAAAAATGCATTTAAGTGTAACATAATTTAAAAAAAAATAACAATCCTAAGATTTAGTCAGTAGAAAATTGTGGTCCTTTACTGACTTTGTAAAGAATTGTCTTTGTTTGATTATATTTGGTAAAACTAAGACTTCTTCCTAGATGGCACGCTTTCACAGCGCGTCAGTTATATACTGTACAAATATTTCAATTTGAATGATTTTATGAGAAGTACAAAAACTTATACAAGAGGGCCAAGATGGCCCTAGATCGCTCACCTGATCCATCGAACTCATCCGAATTATTACCTAGACAAGCATCCTGACCAATTTTCATGACAGTTAAGTAAAAAAATATGACCTCTACAGTGTTAACAAGGTTTTTCCACAATTGAGCAGTGTGACCTAGTTTTAACCCCCCCCCCCAAGTGACCCGTATTCGAACTTGACCTAGAAATCATTAAAACAAACTTTCAGACAAATTTCCAGGATATTTGGATCAAAACAGTAGCCACTAGAGTGTTAACAAGATTTTTCTATTTTTAGCTCCTGTGACCTTGTTTTTCATCCGAAATGGCCTATTTTGAACACATCCGAGCAATTATGTAGACAAGCATTCTGACAAGTTTGATGACGATTGAGTCAAAAATGTGACCGCTAGAGCGTTAACGAACAAATGTGGACGGACGACGGACTTTCAACGATCCTAAAAGCTCATCCTAAGCAAGCTCAGGTGAGGTAATAACGAACGTTGATATATCAAGACATGATAAGTAACAGATGGGCAGAAAATTAATGAAAAGGTTACAAGCTCGTCGTAAATACTTTTGTAGCGAGCAACAATTCCAAATTTGATGTATCATTAGTAATTTTTGAGTAATGGACCTCACCAAAAATGTAAATTATGGCAAATATTTTGAGCAAAAACTTCGCAAAAACAAAACGAATGATGACAATTGTGTCATTGCAATAGCTCCATTTTTCTTTCTTCGAAACGTAAAGACTTAAACGATATTCTTGTTACCTGACATCGTTTCAGCAGTTCCATATGTTGTAGATGTAGAGAATAAGAATTGTGGGTAGGAAGTTTGGATGTCGTATGTACATTGGAACGCATTATTGATTACAATAATCGAATATCCGGTATCTACGGGGCATCCACCATAATTACGATTGATCATGAATCTTCTCCCTGGATCATGCCTGCAATATTAAACTTTACTCTTATATGCTGCATTTGTGATTCCGTTTTTGTCCTGATTTGAATATTGAAAAGACCGTTTAGAGTAAAAATGACTTCTATATCATAACACAAAAACTGAGTTACAAACAGTACAGAGCCCGGCCTGGTGACCTGGTTGTGCTTGGTGGCAAAGGCTAATCACTTTTGATATCAGTAGACAGAGGTTAAAAATCTGTTTTCCTTTTACTTTTACGCGAGATTTAACGATCTTGTTTTGAATATGGCAATTTTTAGAGAAGGTGCAATTTTAAATGAACAATTCCAGACCTAAGGCACTGTATAAACTTAAAAGGACGCTATATGACCAGGACATTTTCTTTTTTATGATGATATTAAATCAAACTGATAATAAAATATAGGTGGTGTGTAATAGCTTATGAAAGAAATACAAACCCTAAGATGGAGAAGTAATTAAAAGAATCTGTGGCAAGTGATGTCCAAGATGACTGTATAATATTTGAGGACGAGAACCAACTGGTGATGTTACTTCCGGTTGCATTAAATACAACAAAAGCAGCTTCTTCGTTGTCCTTGTAAAATGCAAACTTTACCTGTTAAGGAAAACAAATCTTACATGTGACGAAATGGTGATTTTCGACATGGTTTGCGAAAAAAATCGTATTAACTATTTTTTTTTTGTAATTCTGTCCATATTTGGGTATGTATAGATCTATCGTAAATATAAATCGGTCTTTTTCAGTCTGATATCTGCTATGGACTTTATCCTTCTTTGTCATGTTTTTCTTCCACAGTAACCATATGAAATGAAAGCGCGTATGGACATTTTACAAACTTCGCAGAAATCAGTATTTAGAAGTTTGGATAAAGGCTGATTTTCATGCTATTTGTTGATTTCATTATTTTGTCTGAAAACCTCTATATTTTATAAATAAGTGAATGCTTTGATTTGATGTACTTGCGGATATTCAGTCTTATGGTCATTTGTCTCTCGTCGCTGATTCAGAAATTATATGGTTTGCAGTCCGTCAAATGCGGAGACATTAGTAATTATGTAGCGGTTAGCCTTCCAGGAAAGCCTTTAAGATTGACGTAAAACTAAACAGACAGGCAAAAAAAAAAAAACAATTCTGATTTTAGAGGGCAAATACACAATAATTGGACAGTATAATGTACCTGTTGCATTCCAATAGAAGTCCACGAATCAACAATGGGATTGCGATAATTCTTATCGCAAGTGGTGCTGTCAGTCGTCATGCATGTGGCGTTATCTACGGTGACGTCATCTCCGTCAACCCAGGCTGTATATATATCACCACCGATACCTGGAGTTCCACGAAACACCAACAACCATTCTGAAATGTGATGGGTTTGTAAAGTTTGTCTTTGCATATTATACATATAATAGATCCAGCTCATAACGACACTATTTCTCAGGTGAGAAATCCGAGCGGTCTTAAAATGGGGGACAATTTGAAAAAGAGAAAATGACTACAAAAAAAACCCCAAACGGTTGAACATCTCAGATTCGGTTGTATTGAGTCTGTTCATGAAAAATACAAGCTTTTCCGGAAAGATATGCCACTATAGATGTCACATTTTCCCAATAGAATAATGATTTATATTGTTTGCAAGGTAGGAGCGGTTATCCGCACTAGAAATATCAAATAATTCATTAAAACGCTAACATAACAGGGGACACAAGTTAGACAAATACATGTATAACAAACGAACGATCAAATGAATGAATGAACGGACGGACGAATGAACAAATGAACAAACAAAAAAACAAACAAACGAACAAAAGAACAAACAAAAGAATGAATCAGCAAAAGAACGAACAAGCAAACAAACAAAAAAACCCAAATAAATCAATCAACGTGTCGTCTGCTCGCACAAATTTACTTTCATTTAATTGATAATGTAAATACATGTAACTTCATATTTTTTAATCAGCACCTTGCTATTGGAAAGTAATGTATAAAAAGCCGTTAACTGGCATATCTAATGGAAATAAATCTGACTCTTTGAAGTTGCATTCTGAATGACTTAATTACTGGACTGTTTAAATATACATTATATACGATTTAAGTGAAAATTCAATTCATGTCAATAGGATAATTGAATTTATTTCAACAGAACTATTGTGCTGAATAAACCATGCCTCGAAATATAAAATTGATTGTTAATTTCAATCAGCTAAACATTTATCTACTTGAATTTTGTGCATTTTAGAGTTTTCTTTTATGAATTTGTTATAAAAATAAATCAATGACAAACACTCTTTAAAATGGTACAGATATAATTTGTCCGGTTGACATGATTGCTTTACTGAATGAAAATATAATAATTACTTTATTAATTGAGTAAATTCCGGGAAGTGAATGCTACACGTTGCTTTAAATTTGAACCAGTTGATTCTTAGTAAAATTGAATTCCATGGTAATATCATACATCTATTAAAATATAAAGCTTTGCTTTGATTACACTGCTAACTAAACAAAAAGTCACATATATTTTTCACCGATGCTCAATTTTGAGATCCATATGCGGTTCCACACCGGAAGAATAGGTAACGAATCATCCGCTTTACTAATTCACATATAGAGACCGGATGTGTACATTACAGGTATCGAGGGGTCTCTTTTTTTTGTATTTTATCGACTGCACATTTCATTATCCATCTTGACAATTAAATGAAACGATTTATCTAAAATAATATATTTGACATTTAGAAAAGCGAATTCGAAAGACTGGTGGTGTAAATTCACGTCCATCATCGAAATGTTATTTTTTCACCTCCAACAAAATCCTGTATTTTGATTGGATATCAGCAGTCACAATGAGACCCAATATTTTCCAAGAGCGGGACAGCTACTGAAGCACTTTTAACAGTCAGTCAAGCAATCATACATATTTTATAGTTGTTGTTGTTGTGTTGTTTTTGTTTTGTTTTAAATTTTATTTTTGTTTTATGAAAATTCATAAAAGTGCGTCTCCTTGTATATACGTACATATATAAGCAAGCGCCATTTACATATTTACACACAATGCTGTTTCTAATAAGCAATCTAGGTTTAATTTTTTGTGTTACCTTACCCATCAAGGTGACTTGAGTGATATTAGTTAGTCTGTCGCTTACAAGGTATGCTCAATTATCACCAAGTTTCCTGATATTTCCGTTACAAGCGAGGTCTTCTGTAGATATTAATGTACGGGAAAAAAGGTGAAATAGCAAAAGTATACGTGTGATTCTGTGAGTTTTGCGGTTTGTCATTTTTGTATAAACCGAGGGGTCAGTCATTTTTATATGTGCGATATGTGCGCTTTATTGTTGATTATTTTGCAAAATTTATCACCATATTTCTACAGCGTGACTAACTTATTAAGAGCTAATTTTAATTTTTTACCTTTTTTATTTTGGTAATTAATGTGCTGTTTTCAATGTGTAAACTTCAAAATGTTTTACTTTTAAAAATATTTTCAAAATTTCATGATAATTAGCATGAATATGGAGGCATGCTGCATTAATTAACATCGTCATCATTTCAAATACAAAGTCAACGAGCTTTACGACAACAGGTTTTTTTGTTTGTTTTGTTTTGGGTTTTACGTCACATCGACACAGTATAGGTCATATCGCGACGTTCCAGCTTTACTGGTGGAGGAAGACCTCAGGTGCCCTTCCGTGCATTATTTCAGGCACGAACGGGCACCTGAGTAGAACCACCGACGTTCCGTAAGCTAGCTGGATAGCTTCCTCACATGAAATAATCCAAAGTCCCTGTCGGGATTCGAACCCACAGCGGTGAGGGGCAAGTGGTTTGAAGTAAACGACCTTAACCACTCGGCCACGGACGCCCCACGACAACAGGTAACATTGCTTGTTAAGTAATAAACTTTTCTTATTTGCACATTTATTTGTAAATACCTTACTTTATAGATAGAATAGATGGAAATTAAGACATATTTATTGTTATAAGATAATTATTTACCATTTTTACTGTAACTTTTCCAACTGGTGTCCGTCTGTCCGTTCACAAACACAGATACTAATGGATCTCTCGACAACTTGCAAGTTTTAGTTGATTCCTGATAACTTACACTCATACAATCGTCCGTCTGATTACAATAAGCACAACATTTAACTCTTGTAGCATTTCTGAGTGTCAAAAAGGTATTTTGTAGAAATATATCGTTAGTCCTTTGATACACATTTGCATCAGCCGACACAAAACAAAACCATGTCAACAACGCTATATATTGAGTGTCATGATGAAAAACAAAGTGAATTAATTTCATCTTAGCAGTTTTTTCTAAATATTTTAAGTCTTATATCACTAAGATTAAAAAAAATCACTTCAAATTGCAGACATTTGGTCTTAATTTATTAAAATAATTCTACAAATCAAGAGCACGTTAATTCCATAATTGTGAAATTCAATGTGACGTTTATAGGTTTGTAGCAAAACTCACATTTTCTTCACAATATTTTAAGGAAAAAAAATTGTCAATGCGTTTAATTTGGTTATCATCTGACATATGGATTTTAATGAGCTTTGTCAATAGAAGCCTCGTGTAATGAACCGATACCAATGTCAATATAATTGACTGAGGTTGATTTATTGTCATAGATACATTCCACTCTTGTGAAACAATGGATGATACTTATCAATAAAATTTGATACAAATATTCCATGAATAAGTTAACATAGTCATTAAGATCATTATCAAATGTATGTATAATTGAACGGTTGATTGTGGATTTGCACTGCGTTGGTTTGATGCACACAACCGATACACTTGTGTGGGCGACTTTCCAGCTTACATTAAACAAGGTGTGGTAGCATTAAAGATGTGAATATAAGATACAAATTATTCAACTTTACATCAGGAAAAAAATTATATTTATTTTGTTTTGTTCTTTATATGCAAATCAAAACGAGCTTGATAAAACACTTAAGAATGAAAACTGCAGTTTTGTTTTTTATCATAATATTGTAAAATCTCATTTGTTTTATTTGTCTTGCTTTTTCATGTTTCATCAATCACATGAATAATATTCAATAATATCTTGTAGGTTCTTTTATATTAAAACTTTCAACAAATGAGCCGCGTCACGACAAAACCAACATAATGCGTTTGCACATCCGCGCAGTCTGATCAGAATCCATGCTGTTCGATATCAGTTTCTCTACTTGTAATAGTGTTTGTAAGCGAACAGCATGGATCCTGATCAGATATCAAATATTTATTTAAGTTCGATTAATAGGAAATAGTTCTAAGCAAATAGTTAATCTGATTATATTTGGACTTCATTGACCTACATTTACTTTATGATCAATGGCATTTAAAAAATAATTATTTGGGACAACAACAAAACAATATCATACTTTAACTAATTTTATTTTATAGTCATACATAGTGGCATATGTAATTTATCTCACTGAGTAATGTCTTAGTTTATCTTTGGCATTTTTTGGGCACGACTCCATTAATAAGAGCCAAAAGGTTTGGATACCGGGCATACAAAACCCTGTTAGGGCATCCATAGCAAAGCAAACAAATGACACAAAATCAAAACAAGCAAATGGAACAAACTGTATAGCTTTTTGGAACAGTATGTTCTAGAAAATAATTGATCAAAGCAATACTAGTCTTTCAATTCTTCATTCACAAAATAGTCAATTTTCACAAATGTATATGAGCAACAACACAGCATTGACACTGTTGCGCGAAATTGGTTCTGGGAAGCAGAAACCAGTATCGCCAGTATCACAAAATGTCTATTCGCCGGCCGCAAAATGCAAATTTAGCAGACACAACATGTGAAATCTAGTATTTGAAAGTTCATAGAACACATCTCTGGAGTCGCACCGTTGTCGAATTCTCTCTGCTGGTGGTTTTGGCCCAAGCAGTTTTCCTAAAAGATACCTCTTCCGTGGCATTTAGTAGGGCTAGCTGTCTTGAAACACGTCGCTTATGTTGGCTAATCTGAAAACATATCAAAAGAGGACAGAAACAACAAAAAAGCAGGACACTAATATTAAATTTAAACTCAAGTCTTTGACACTTCACACTCATAATTGACCGAGGAGGGCGGGTGGGTTTTTTCAACAATTCATTTCTTCCTTGTTACAATATTCGACGCCAGCGTTAAAAGGATATGACGTAGATACAGTACCTACGTCATAACCAGGGCAGGGTATAAGTTGTTCCCCAAATAACAGAGACTATTCTATAGAAATAGTCATCATTATTTGGGTTAACAACAAAACAATATCATACTTTAACTAATTTTATTTTATAGTCATACATAGTGGCATATGTAATTTATCTCACTGAGTAATGTCTTAGTTTATCTTTGGCATTTTATGGGCACGACTCCATTAATAACGCCAAAAGGTTTGGATACCGGGCATACAAAACCCTGTTAGGGCATCCATAGCAAAGCAAACAAATGACACAAAATCAAAACAAGCAAATGGAACAAACTGTATAGCTTTTTGGAACAGTATGTTCTAGAAAATAATTGATCAAAGCAATACTAGTCTTTCAATTCTTCATTCACAAAATAGTCAATTTTCACAAATGTATATGAGCAACAACACAGCATTGACACTTTTGCGCGAAATTGGTTCTGGGAAGCAGAAACCAGTATCGCCAGTATCACAAAATGTCTATTCGCCGGCCGCCACTAGACTTCGGATGGTGAACGGGAGATTTCCCGTTTTCCAGTCGAAGGCTCCGCCAATAACAAATAATATTGGCTTCGCAAATATCATACTATTATTGGCTCCGGCGAATTGAATACTTTAAAAAAATTAGTCGTGCCCAGCCATTCTATGATTTATAATACAACACTGCCATGTAGGTAATTCAACTAAGCAAATAAAGCAGCATTCCAACAAATATGCATATACTAGCGCTCATAAATCAAATATGACACTATCTGAAACACAATAATTTGGGTAGTAACCACCAAGATCTCGAGTTCAGTGACATTTATCCTGACATGAATTTAGCAAAAGCATTCAATTTAAACTGCTCCAAATATGTGCTAGCTAAATGTATATACATTTGACGGTGCATTTTTTCGAGATATTAATTTAGCAATAACGTTCAAACTGCTTCAAATATGTGCTAGATACATGTATACAATAAGTGCATTCAATCAACTGAACTATAAATTATGCATCAACACATCAACTTTTCAAATATACATTTCCTGAACCACTCTATGCCATAGGTGTTCGGCGCGCTGATCGGCCACCCACCCCACAACCCTCCCACCCTCCAAAACCATGTAAACTGCAGTATTTTTCATTTGAAACAGGTTTTAATATTTGGTATATGCTTTTAATTCAATAACCTTCATTTCCCACAAAAAATAAAAAAATGATTAATATATACATATTTAGTAAAGGTATGCAACTCGCTGCATTTTTCAGCACTCATCTTAATAATAATTGAACTCCATAACCCCAACGTTTTTTTAACCAATTTTCAATATTATGGTTCTGAAAGATTGGAGGGCCGCAAAGTGGGCGAGGGTCCCCCGGGGGCAGCCACCAACCAACGCGCCGAAAACATATGCCCAATACAATAGTGACCATCAAGATCGTGAGACCTGCATGACTCTGAGAGCAGATATTTCCAATTGCACTCCATGGGTTCGAATCCTTCCAATTCAACCAACATGTTTAATGTTACATTAATCAGGTTTCCATTCGTTTTTAAATCGCATGATGTAAACTATTACACTTCATGCGGTAAAGAAAACTAGCAACAATTCAATGCATCATATCGTCGACAAGGCAGAACACTGGTATTACATTTTAGTATGCTTAGCACCTATTGTCATTAGAATAGCATGCAATATTAACGTGTTAGAAATTGTCCTAATTTTTTACCCCACAACTGTACATAGGTTGCCACAATTTGTACATAGGTTCGAGCTATATTTTTCAATTTGCAGCATTTCACACCACCCATCCTGGTCAGTCCTGGACTGTCTTTCTTACAACTACATGTGAAGCGCTTATTCAAAATAGATACTTATACTAATATACTTAACTGAGCTGTAAAAAGATTTGAAACAATTAATAATAGATTTCATGGAATATTTACTAATAAAATGTCTTTATTGGCCAAAAACATACTTAATTCCCAAACTTCAAGAATAATGGTTTAAGCTTTTTGTTAGACATAAATTCTACTGCCAGTGTTATAAGCAATTTCACAAAATATTCTTTCACTGGTCAGTTTGCAGCATCCAGCTATACTGTCAGTTAAAAGTTGTTTGATTCTGTATTGGTTATTAGTCAATTCAAGCAATTAATAGACTTAAATAAACATTGATTATTATAATATTAATGTATTTACATTTTATTTTAATTGAAAGCCGCATTCATTAATCTATCTGCAATACAGAAAGCATTTGCTGATTATCAGCCAAGATATTTTTGATTATCAAATTAAGTAGCTGCTGGAAAAAAATAGCTTAAGAATATGGTAATTTAAGATTTTGAACAAAGTGAAACCTTAGAACATTGCCAAAGTATTTGCATCATTTTATTTAAACATTGTAAAGTTAGTGTTTTATGTTCCTTATTATGTTTATTGTTAATAAAATAATCCAGACAGAAAACGACAAAGTTTATTACCATGAAGATAAAAGGCAATCATTTTAAGAACAAAAATTATATAAATATGGTATGGACTCTGAAGTGCATAATAATTTATTACAAAATTATGAAAATATTTGTACATTAAATGATTTAATTGACACTAATCAAATAGAATGTAAACAGTATGTAATAGATATTTTTGACATAATGCATAGTGCCCATCCAAGGCTTTAATTATAATGAGAGAACAGGTGAAAGTCAAATAAGTTTACATCTTGCAATATTTTTTTAATTCCTTTCAATTTTATAATGTACTTTCCATTTATGAACGATAAGTTAATGCAATTGGAAATTACCCAAAATGTTCAATTTATATAAGTTTGGGACAGTCTTTTTTAAATTTTAAGCATACTTATATTTTATCATAAACATTTTAAAATATCAGCTGTAGGTCAGTAACATTTTTTTCAGTCAATTATTTGAAACATAAAGTCAATTCAGCATAACTTGACCATGACAAAATAGGCACAATGTCATTTTAATATCATAACCATGTTATTTTGAAATTAATAGGGTGTACTTTTTCACAATGAAATATTGTTTCAACACCGAAATTAAAGTAAGACGATTTATATTAACATTTTAAATGTCAAACGTCATACCCTATATGAGTTTACATAAAAATTGGTCTTGCAATTCAACCAAAGTTGGGTATTATACTAAAGCCAAGAAAAAACTGTCTTGAATGATTTTTCTTTGAAATAAAAGTTAAACGTTGAATGCATGATTTTGTGTAAATATTATCAACAGTGTTTAACACTAAAATTTAAGAAGCGTGTTCACTTTTATTACTAGTTTAGGGGAATGAGTACCTATCATATAGCATAAGATTATAAGAAAACCTAAAGAAATGGAAAACTTTTAACCTCTAAATTAAAGTTTTAAGTTTAATTATGTGTAGATCTATGGTCAAACTATATGAAAAAATAAAAAATAAATGATATACTTTCAAATTTAAAGGTTTATATTTGGATGGTGTTCACTATGTCTAAATCATTAAAAGAGGTTCATAATAATTTAATAAATAAGCTATTCATTTATTATATTAAAATCGCAAACCCGTTAAGTTGAAATCGTGAATCGTGAATTCCATGATTTGAAAACGTGAATTCACGACATTGAAATTGTGAATTCGTGAAGATGAACCCGAGAATTCATGAAGTTGAAATGTAACAACCGGTTAATGTTTTTGCTCTTGTATTTGTATATATGCAAACTGAGCTGATATAAATAAACAAAACGATACGGTCTTTAAAATTCGTAGTAATTCTGCTTTTTGCTGCATAAACAGAATTTAATTCAACCAAAATTGACAGACTAAACAAATATAATAGTGGTATAGTGGTGACTGTTGGGGTTTAAGACGGTGGTAATGATAGTGATGTTTGTGATAATATTGTTTGTTAATTATGGTGATTTTTCAAATTAGGGCGAATCATTTTACTGTAATTTTTGGGGGGAAAGAAGACATATTGGTAAACTTTAAGGTAATATTATAAAGTTGGACTAATGTCAGATAAAGATGCGATATGAAATCTGTAAATACACTATAACGCTCCTTGGAGTGTTCACGTCTACATTTTCTACTTATTATTAATTTGAAGATCTATCATTTTGAGCAAAAGGTTTCGGAGAGGAAAGCAGATTCTGTATAAAGTCAATTGAAAAAACTCTACCGCCTTTCCCCACCCGACCCTGGGCAGCAGTTAGTGGAGGAGCCGTGTTTTAACTTAGTCTGTTATGGCACTGCGAGTCAACTGCGGTTGTTTTGAAATAGCAATGGGCGTTATCGAGGCAATGGTAGAGGGGACATTCTACGGATAACTTTTACCAGTGTTCAAAGTCAAAGTTCCCTCTATTTCACTGTGGTAAATAGCAAATTATGTTATGACTTGTGCATAAAAACAAAATCAATAAAAGAAAGGCAGCCATTCTTATCCTAAATCAAAGTGCCCAAACTGAAGTTATTTTGAATTTTTTGAACTAAAAATCTTTAAGGTTTTTTCTTTCGTTGCCCTGGTAACAATAAATGTACGCTGATAACCAATACCTCAAAAAATCACAATTGCTAATTATCAGTTGTTCCTTACAAGGAAATATTAGTTCAGCGGAGCACAAAGTGCAAATGTGGAGCTGTAGGGATTGTTTAATTTCTGTTGTTCGCCAGTCGTTACCAACTGACCTCGGAAACGGCAAGTGCGCGTTGTCAAGGAAACATGCCCCGTCAACCAAACAAAAAGTCGGAATATATTCATACGACGATTTTATTTTCTGAATAACCCAAATTACAACATATATATGATTGTATAGGTATATTCCTACCATTTCACAATTTGTCATTTCAACCGTTAGAGCTAAATGATTTATTTATTTGGTTCACATTTGAACCGATCTTACTAAATATTTACCAGAATTGACTTCTCTGAAAGTCAAGTTCAAAGCACGGTCAAATGGACTAAATTTCATTCTGAAGATTGCTTATTACACTGGGCTATATATTTATTAAACTTTTAATCAGTATTCAAACATTTAATTGTTTTTATTTTGTTTTTCTTCTACACAGCTTGAGAATTCAGTAACTAGGGATACAAAAAGATGAAGAAAAATATAAATATTCTACACAAAAGCACATAATAGAATTATGTTTTGTCGGAAGGTAAAGAAACGAGATACAATATAACTGTTTTTACAAAGGAATTAAAGAAATACAATATGTATATGTTGTGTTAAAAATGTTTGATGCAAGTACAACAATCAGACGGTGAAACATTACATAAAAATATAACAAATGTTTCTTGACATTTTACAGGTAGGGATCATATAAAGGGGTCACATACAATCATTATTCACATCACCTGTGAAGAATACTCTCAAGAAAACTTTGTTTAAAGACCCATTTTGCCTCAGATATGCAGTCATATATGCAGTTTATATTTTTAAAAAACAGTTTTGTTAATTTTTGGTTTATTGTTGCTTTGTTGGTAATTGGTATTATTCTAGTGAATATTTGTTTGCACGGAAGTCCAAATACTACTTTGTTTACATTTTGCTAACAACTTCACATTCAGCACTCCTATCACTAGCTGTTTAACACCTAACATGCTCATAATACATCATAAAAACATAGTTAAACACATGTTTGACATTTCTAAAGAATTTTATAAATATGGATTTCTGGGGCATAATGTACCATAAAACGGATCGTCATTTTATTGTTTCATTAGTGTCTTATCTTAATTCCTGTTGGTTATATTGGAGATATAGATAGACATACATGTATTATTCCTTTGTCTCTATCCTTTGATTAAAATGAAACATACGAGCCCTCGTATTCGTATTTTAATCTCTTTTCCTGTGTAGATCACTCAGTTATACAATCGTTTACCAATCTATTACAACATTTGGTACATTAAAGGCACAGCTAGGTCCATTTGTACATAAAAAGCACAATTTTGTTCATTTTTACATTAAAGACACAACTTGGTTCATTTGTACATTAAAGACACAGCTTGGTCATTTCGTACACTAAGGGCACAACTTGGTTCATTTGTCCATGGAAGCAACAGATAGGTCCACGTGCTCATAAAAATCACAACTGTGTTCATTTATACATTAAAAACACAACTGGGTCCAATTATACATTAAAGGCACATCTTTGTTCAGTTTTACTTTAAAGTCATAACCAGGTTCAATTGTACATTAAAGGCACACTCATTGTCAGCATAATTGAAAATCCATGGAAAAAGAGTCAACTATATTATAACATATTGATTATGTATGAAAAAACACACATTTAAATACAATCATGAGTACCTTCCACAAATTGTTTGCCAAACAAAATACGACAGTATACAAACCGTTGATGGCTTTTTACGAAAATTAATGTTACGAATGATATATTACGAACAGGCATCGGGCACTTCCGCCGGTGAAGTACTTAAAGACATCCAGAATTTTAACATACAATCAATTCTTCTAGAAAGAAATTTCACAATTAAAGTAACTAGTATTTGAAAAATCCAATTTGCCCAACCCATGTCAGTTTCTGTCTAAAACAATGCTTAATTTTGTTGAACATAATCATTTTCTTTTGTAACGAAAACAAAATGTTGTGTTTATTTTTTAATATATGCGATTTTAAGTTATCTATTTGTGCTATAAATTTACACTTAGTATACAAGGTTTTCGAGCAGGTTCTTTTTGATGTTTATTTTATTATTTCTAAAATACCCAAATATGTTGAAAAAGGGGTATTGTCATTTTCCTAAGCATTGTCCTATTATATTACTTTATAAATATAGCCATTACATCTGCCTTGTCCATTCCTGAAAATAAAAAAATGGCATTACTTTCAGTTGATACATCTGACACAAAAGCTCAAAAGATAACATTAATTTTACTATTTTACACATTAAAATGTAATTTTAAATGTTATAAGTAATAAAAGCTATAGTAAGTAACATAAAATAAATAAGTAGAATGAGTTTTCATCTAAATAGAACCTATTTAAGTATTGTATGATGACAGGGACATTTTTAAGCGTAAAAATGAAAATGTTAGGCAATGGTTATCTGCCCCTTTTCCATCGGAAAATAGATCTATTAAACAATTTTCTTAATACCTGACATAGTTTCCGGTGATTCGAATGTTGTAGAAGTAGAGTAGATGAATTGTGGGTAAGAAGTATGCGTGTCGTATGAACACCCAAACTCGCCACTGACTACAATAATAGAATATGCCCTGTCAGTTGAACAGTTATTGTAATTTCCAACCATCAGGAATCTTCTAGAGTTATGCCTGCAATGTTCGAGAAATGATCCAGCTTTGATTTTTCAAAAATCTGTTTTAAGCTACTGAGATCTCTTGAAACCCCAGAAAATATAACGAAACATGTGATATAGATATAAAACATCTAAATTATTACTTGATCTTTAATCTTTTAATTTGTCTTAAAATCTTAGAATATTTTTCTTAATTTTGATTTTCATGAAACATTTTAAGGCATGCAGCTTAAATCAACATTTACCGCTTTTCGCTAACTAACAAACATACCGGATGCCAGATCAGGATGTTTTCTATAAAGTATGAATTTAACTCAATACAGTGTTGGAACAGTACTTTTATATAGGCGCTTGTAGAAATCATCATTACAAAAGAGACAAATATTGTGTTGTGTTTTTTTTTCGCCGAATCTTAAATTTTTCATTCGTTATCGTATAAAAATCTATGTTAAGAGATTAATTGTATGTTTTAAAGTTCATTCCGTTCGGTGAAAAGGCGATATTTTAGAATTCAATAATTCAAGCTCTTTGTCCGGTATATACCGGAATACGGTATTTAGTGTGGTGCTCCAATCCTTTATTTTAGTCTCACTCATAAAGTATACGTCAGAATAAATAAGAAGCAACAAACCCAAAGATGGAGAAGTGATTATAGGAATACGTGTCGACTGTTGTCCAAGAGGATTTCTTAATATTTGACTTAGAGAACCAGCTGGTGATATTGCTGCCAGTTGCGTCAAATATTACAAACGCAGCCTCTACGTTGTCCTTGTAAAAAGCAAACTTTACCTAAGAAGAGAAACATATGAACAGTTAGGCCGGCTCGCCAAGGCGAGCCGGTATTACGTTAGGATTTTACTGAGAAACAACCTAAAACTCCGAATCCATCCAAAAATTTAATCGAAGCTTAGCTTCCAGCTTTCTACAAAATTTATCTATCAGGGCTAGGATCCAAAATTATTTAGCCAATCAAATTTGATCTTATATAGCGTCAAAAAACCTTCAATTTTCACGCCATTTTTAAAAAGCAGCAAGTATTGTTTTGAGCGCAAAGATATAATGATAATTAAAATGTTTGTTTTCATGGATTCTTTTCAGTAAATCATATTTACACTGACTTTTGATTAAGCGATTTCACCAGTCCTGTTTTCGTTTGGTTAATTAACATAAACGACATCAGGTTCTGTGCATTTTTTCTTTTTCCTTTTTTCCGGTCATTTCATCCTTTCCGGTATTTAGTGTATGTATTTACTGGCCGGGATCCGGGACGCCCGGGATCCGGGATCGTATAAGATAATAGAGGAAAAAACTAATAAACTATATTTGTGTTGATTATTGTCGTAATGAAAGGCCATTAAACGTTAAGTTTTTTTTATTGTATGTAATGAAAGTTAAATTGATTTAACTTAGGATATAGATATATTTAGAGCTATTTATTAACAAAATCACAATATTTATAATTATATGCCTAATTAATTGGAAAAATCAAAGACTATATTCTTGAATTGGTCAAATCCCGGGATCCCTATATGGTTTAATACGATCCCAGCTTTTCTGAAAACAATATTCTTGAACTGTCCAATTCCTGGGATCTCTTTATTTTTTAATATGATCCCGGCTTTTCTGAAAACTATATTCTTGAACTGGTCAATTTCCGGGATCCTATTTTTTTTAATAGGATCCCGGCTTTTCTGGCTGAATTGATTGACAACATGTGTTTACTTAAGGACTTGTATCTGTAACTTATTCCAATACTTAATAACATATTACAACTTAACTTCGTATGAAGAGACATTTTTATGAATTCTACTTATCTATTTTTTTCTGGTCAAGGTAAACAGGCCATATAGTAAATGTGCATAGACATAGGGATTTCATTCTATCTGTTTACATGCATCTTCATATATACTCATATTCCTCTTTGTTAAACTGAGAGAACTGGCTTCCTTAACTTTATATGTCACTTTTATTTTGATGTTCGCTGAAGTCTTTTCAGCTAACAGAACTGTCATTTTTACATTTAAACACGCCCCTGGGAAGAAATTACGAAGCGAGTCGCTACTAGCTTTTTTAAAAGCTAACCTTGTAAAACAATCTAAGACGTTATTTACAAAAAAAAAAACTTTTGTTAATCCCCTACGAGGAATGACAATCCATAACTTTTATTTTTAACCGCTGATTTGTTTTTTTTTATATAAGGTTGGCACAAGTGATCACCAGTATGTGACGAAGTACAGAGCGCAATAATTTGGTTGCTTCCCCCAAGGTCAAGGTCACACTAAAAGGTCAGGTGTAAAAAGTTTACATTTTGTTTTCGCTATTTTTAAATATCTCTATCATCACCTACAGAGGGCAACAACCTTGTGGCTACAAGCAACGTCAAGGTTATAATATAACCAGCAGTCTTGTAGATTCTAATTCTCACCTAAATGATTTGTAAAGCATAAAAATCATAATAAATAACACATCACTTGAGCCCAAGAAACAACAATTTTGCTTAGAGTATAATACAATCAAATATGTAAGAAGCTTGTCCAGATATGAAGTGTAGTCTAAAATTATCCATGGTTACCAAGACCTTGACCTAAACATTCAAACAAAATAAGAGTATCTACAAAGGTATCCTTCTGAATATGGAAGATAATTGTTCGATACAACAGACTTTTTTGATGAGCAAATGTGCTTATGATATGCATGGCACAACATCAAGGTCATGGTTAGTTAAAGGTCAAGAAGTGCACGTTGATGTCTACTGCGAAAGTGAATGAATTTAGCTGTCCTTTAGACTGCCTAGTTGTATTTGTAATTTTATTCCGTCTTTTAAGTTGATAAATATTGTTATTTCATTTCGTCAATATTATCATAGTAAAATGTAGATCTAGGTCTTATTGTATCAGAGTTCGGAGACTTGACTATTGAAAACGGGTCAGAGTTAAATCGTATGTAGTGCAGTACATGCACAGTGCGTTAACTAGAGTGAAGGTATCAGTTACCCGCACTCACTGTCGCGTTGATTGATTCTTCTGGGTTTTACTTATAGTGAGGACAGGGAAAGTGATAACAACAGAAAATTTAAGTCATATTCAGACGCTCGAAGATTTGTTATTTTTTTCTGTGGTTTAGTATTGTGACAGCGGGAACATGTTTTTACGCCCCCGCCCACTCGTACAAATCAGATAGCTTCGTGTTTCGATGCTCTTTCTTTTACTTGTACCTGTTGCATTCCAATCGAGGTCCACGAATCAACAATGGGATTACGATAATTCTTATCGCAGGAAGTACTGTTAGTAGTCATGCATGTGACATCATCAACGGTGACGTCAATTCCGTCAACCCACGCTGTAAATATGTCACCACCGATACCTGGAGTTGCACGAAATACTAACAACCAATCTGAAATGTAACATGTTTGCTTTGTTAACGGCAGGCATTTTTGTTTTGTAACTTTTCTTTAAAAAAAATCTGTACTATTAGCTCTAGTTCTGTATTTTCTCGTGGTAAATTTATAAATAAGCCTTTATAGACATATATATCCTCTTACTTGTACCGGGAGGTACTTTGTACCGGGAATGTCCAAATGACCTATTAGTTAACTAGTTAGGAATCAGGTTAACTACTTACGTTACAAGTTAACATCTTAATTAACAAGTAAGTTATCAGGTTAACTAGTTATGTAACAAGATAACCTTTTAATTAACTTGTAAGTTATCAGGTTATCTGGTGGCAAAAATATGCCATAGTGGTATAGTTAAAATTTCTTTTGGATGATTGTTATTTTCATCAAAAAATGGTACTTTTACAGAAATTAACTATTTTATCCTAGAATTTTTTTTTCTGTATTATATGACGATGGGCCTAATAAGGCTTACAATCCCGGTAGGTACAACCAGGATACTTAAACTCAAAATGTCGATACCTCCTGTGATGGTTAAATTAGGAGAATTAGGTGCATTCCCCATTGAAAATGATATTATTTGAAGAATGTTAAATTAGGGTAAATTTGGGTAACTTAATGAAAAGCTTTGTTGTACCGCACTATGTACCTTGCATTGTCTCCATGAAAAGGGTATTTTATAAAAGTTTTTTTTTGTTATATATACATGTATCTCAATATTGGTTGTTCAGAACATTACGTTTACACACAAAAAAAGTTATAAATCTTTAAACATGGAATAAAATCACGAATGCGTAATCAGTTTTTACAAGTACTGTATTGATTAATTATTGAACATCTATCGGATCTTTTGCTTTTCAATATAACATAATTCAAGATAAAAATCAAACGTGCCCACACAGTGAATATTTAATAATCTGTAAAACAACAAACACTAAAAAAAAACGTGATGCATTAACGTTGCATTCACTCTATAGTCCCAGAGGGATGTAAGGTAATCTACATGCAATATTTAACAATTGTATATGCTTAAACATAAAATGAATATAATAGCAAACGAAAAGCGACACTTTCTAAAATTATGTTTTATTCAAATATCATGCACATTTGTATTGTATTTTTTACTTTATTTGTGTATTAGAAATATGTTTTATGAACGTTATTTCGCTTTTTGGGGAGGTTTGAGTATGGGTGCCTACGTTTGAATAAATGACAGACAATTAGTTAAATCAACAAATCAAACAATGAATAATTATTCATTTACGTCAATTGAATTTTATATCAACAACATTGTTTTGACTGATTATCATTATTTTTAAAATGGTTTTAACTTTTGCATGTGCTTACAATACAAACTTGTTACCTCTGCAAAACGCTTGAACATCTTGTCGCTTCCCATCTTTTTTCACACTTAGTAGTCAAAATATTTTGTTTTCATCTTCAGCATGTTTTTGTGAAATACAGTTTATTCAATTCACACACTCCCTTGTCAAAAGCAATTCACCAGACAAACGAACAGATCTTATGCTCTTTACCTAAAGCAAGGCCTTTGATAAAAAAGATCACCGTAAATTACTCTTTACCCTTCAAGAATACAGTGTATCAACATAAATTATCATTTGAACACGTTCCTTTCTAATAGGTTAGAGACAAACTGTGTTTTTGGATGATGAACACTCTACAGAAGTCCCTGTAAATCCTGGTGTTCCACAAGGCTCTGTCATTGGCCCACTCTGCTTTCTGGTCTTTATTAATGAACTTCCATCTTTTGTCTACAAGTCTCAAATTCGCCTCTTTGCAGATGACATATTGGTTAACATCTCTATAAAATCTTCCTCAGACTCACTTTCCTTACAGGAGAATCTCAATAAGATGCAAATTTGGAAACGGGAGAGGGACATGAAATTCAACACCTCAAAATGCCAAGTCCTTCACATCACTAAAAACTAAAAGTCATCAACAACAAGTACTTCCTCCATGGTCAAGCTTAAACCTCAGTTCCAAGCTCAAAACGCATTGGCCTTGACCTTTCCGCAGACCTGAACTACAATATTCAGATCTCAAGAACTACATCAAATGCAAAGCAAAAGCCTAGGATTCATCAAACGAAATATTAATAAAAAATAAAAAAAGTAAAATAACTAGCTTATTAAGCCCTAGAATGACCTCAGCTAGAATATACATATACAGTCTAGAGCCAAACATCCAAAAAATAGAGAAAGTCAAAGACGAGCTATATGCCCAGTCAAAAAGTAGAGATGGTCCAAAGACAAGCAATTTACGCTTGGTGACACAGGATTACTCTCCCCTGTCAACCGAAGGATATTGGCTGGCGTTCTCTAAAGCATCGCAGATCAAAATTTAGACTTATAATGTTTTTCAACATTTACTAGAACTAAGTAGCCACTAGCCACTACCTACATTAAAACTCCATCTCGGCTTACTAGATATATGTACCCCCTCTCTCTTAGGGAAATAATACATCAGTCTATCATAAGTTCTCTTCACACTTCAGAACCAGATTCACAGGAACATTGTCACCCTGCCTAATCTTGACCATTCAAACAGGCGTTAGTTAAGATACCTACATTAAAACTCCATCTCGGCTTACTAGATATATGTACCCCCTCTCTCTTAGGGAAATAATACATCAGTCTATCATAAGTTCTCGTTCACACTTCAGAACCAGATTCACAGGAACATTGTCACCCTGCCTAATCTTGACCATTCAAACAGGCGTTAGTTAAGATACCTACATTAAAACTCCATCTCGGCTTACTAGATATATGTACCCCCTCTCTCTTAGGGAAATAATACATCAGTCTATCATAAGTTCTCGTTCACACTTCAGAACCAGATTCACAGGAACATTGTCACCCTGCCTAATCTTGACCATTCAAACAGGCGTTAGTTAAGATACCGTATTCGTTGACTTGTTGTGTCTTTAATTTTAATGCTTCTTTTCATCCGAATGGTTTTCATGATCCTTACACATTTAGAACTCATTTAAATTAATATAACCATAAATTTATAGATTTGTTATCTGGCCATTCTTAAGGTTGTAACAGATTAATTTAAATGGATAAACCTCAATTTTTTTTACAAAACGTATGTGTTACAGAGTGTGCGTATGCGTGCAAATACATCACAAAAAGTGTGACAAGAAATGTCAGAGACACATTACATACAAACATCGGAACGCATGTATCAAAATCCTATTTAGAAAAAGGTGAAAAATATGAGTTTTTTAGTTCACACCTGTAAGATTGAATTGACAGTGAAGGTTTATTCTCCCATAAGTGTCTCAAGAAACGGCACTATACTTTATAGCCCACTGTCCATCTGAAGACACGTTTGTCCTTTTTTGGCACGTTTGTTTATATGTCTGTAAGGCCTTGTTGTGCGGTGATGGAGAAAAATTTGTACAATATGAACGTCAAACACTCATTCTCAGTTAACACATCATTCCATGTCTTAATAATTCTATGACGAAATGTGGAAATATAAATGCCCGAACATTCCTATAAAATGCTTTAACAACTGATACCTTATGAACGATTTAGTTTGAGCCCAAGTTTAATAGCTTATTGGTTTGACTTAGCTAGTGACAATCGCTTTTACATGGAAGAGTTGATAAAAACAGCATGTCTTCAACTAAATCGAAGTGTGTTTCATTTCAAGTTTTTTCTGGAAAAAATCGTGGTCAACAGTAAACACAGCTTGTTTTTTCGTTAATCTATTGCAGATTTTGCCATACAAAACTATTTTTTTTATATTTCAAAAAAATAATTTGAATAAAAATTGAATAGCTTGTCTTCAAATTTGGTATCATTTACGAGTCTGAATTGCCAAACAATTGATAATTATACATGGTAACATTTTAATTGTTTATTCAATAGTAATATAAAGCCTACAGAAATAAAGGTAACAAAAATATGAGAACTAAAAGTATTTGTGCGACCATTTTGTAAAGGATTCCACGTTAATTTTGTATTTTACTATTGTAGTTTTTACAGGCTCTTAAAAACCAGCCGTCTGGCAATATGTTTTCAATAATATATATGTTTTTTTTCTTGATGTATCTAAAGTGGATATTTTTCTTGCTTATATTATGTCATTTATTTAAACCAATTATCAATTTCTCATATTTCATTTTGTCAATCAAACATTTACAGCTTTACTGGACTCTGCCTCTTTCACTTTCACTTGTGATTTATTCTGCTTGTCTTGTTAAATTATTTTAACTTGGTAATGGACCTTGTTATAGGTGGAATCACATTCTCACACGACAACAATGAAGTATCCATGTTAATTAAAAAACGTATCCGAAATGTATTTATTACTTGCAGATAGCTTCTAAAAATCATAATTTTGATATAATAATTGTAATTTATATTTAGACGTTTTGAATTTCTTAGTGTTCAACGGATATTTACTTTCATGAACGAATACATTGAAACTTAAATTGAAATGATCAAAATGAAGTAAACACGACAACAGGCGTGTCACGTATCTGGCTGAACTGTCGCGTAAATTGTAGAATTAATTGTGGAATATCCGTTGAAGTAATAGGAATTTTTGATTCTGTGCTTTTCGGTGTAAACGCAATTATTTTGAAGTATATCAAATTAATTGTAAGATTGTTACAATTGTTCTTTGAAGCGGAATTGGTGAGAACTGGCTAGTAATGGTCCTTAAATTAATAAATTCTGAAACATTTATAACATTTTCATGTTTGGTTAAATGGGATATGATTATTCATGCATTTGCATATAAAATATTTTACTTCATCTGTTTAAAATAAAACATACTATGCAATCTTTTGGAGATCAATTATAAAACAGAAATAATAGGATTGATGTGTCCCGTAAATGACAACAACTAAAGAAAATTATAAAACAGGGATTTCTAAATAAAAGTGATACTTCTATAAGAAAAATTACTTGTTTTGATTCCTTCTATTTTTATTGTTTACACTAGCTTGGATTTATATGCTTATCTTGCAATTTTGTTGAGTTCTAAGGCTAGATCTGATGCGTGTAGTTTGA